CGTCCGCGTTCAAATTAAGTTACTACAATTTTCTGTGGCGCATTCTACAGGTGATAAATATAAATAATCGATATATCGATACGAATTCGAAATCCGTTATTATTTCCCCGAATTGTTAAAAAATGAAAATTTCAAATTCGGTTTTCTTTATCTGTGGAAAAAAAAATTAAAAATTGTGACTCGTTTATTATTTTTTTTTAATTTGAATTTAATTTAATAATAATTAAAATGGGTGCAAAACCAGTCGCGCAAGGTAAACTTTTTTTTTTTTTTGTTTCTGTTTTCAATGAAGGAAATATTAAAGAAAAAAAAAAAAAAATTGAAAAGTTGTACCTTCAATATTCGCTCCTACCTAAATAAGTCATATAAGGTTTTAATAAAACGATGGCGGCGGCGGTGGTGGTGGTGGAAGTGGCGGCGGTGGCGATGGCGATGGCGATGCCGCCATCGCTACCGCCGATTGTGGTTTATTTTCGGTTTTACACATACTGTAATAAAAATTTTAATCCGATTCATCAAAATGGCGGTTTTTCTTTATAAAAAATATTATTATGATTATCATCGTTATCTTACTTTTCTTTTCGTTGATTTGCGGGTTTCGAAACCATTGGTAAAATACCGCCGTTTATTTTTTTTAACCGTGGCACCAGAATATAATTTTATTTATTTTGAACTGTAATTCAGAAAATTGAATAGAACGAGGAGGAAAAATGGGAGATATATTTTTTTAAAATCATCCCGCGTAATTTTTTAAACCGGGAAAAAAAGTCTATTTACACGTCGAATTAATTTCGCTTCGTTAATGATCCGAAGCAAAAAAAAAACAGTTTTTTTCGAGTTTGTGACGATGATTAATTCGTTTGAATCGGTCTCTTAAAATTTTTTTTTTTTGTAACGCCCATTCGTTTTTTTTTTTTTTGTTCAATTATAATATGGAAATTCTAAAGACACGTTTAAAAAAAAAATTTTTTTTTTTTTTTTTTTTTTTTTTTAAATTGAAACCCGTGCGAGTTTCATTAGTCGTAATAACGGTTTTTAAAATTTCCAAATCGAAATTTTTTTTACAAATTTACATAAAAATTTTTTATGGATTGCGTGCGAGAGAGAGAGAGAGAGAGAGAAAAAATCTAATGCCACGTTTAATAATACGTTTTTTTTTTTTTTTTTTTAATTTTCCAGGCATGGATTAATTAAAATGATCTGGTGGAAAACATTCGTCTCAATAATTTTCATTCTTTTTACCGTACTAAACGTATCATATGCCAAAGGAGGTAAGTCTCAATAGAATTAATTTCTCTACTTCCCCCTCCCCCCGGTTTATTTTCTCTATGAAAATGCAATGACGTCATTTATTATTAGTTTATTAAAAAACCGTTAGGTTCGCTTTTTTGGCATACGAACAAAAAATTATTACATTGTAAAAAATGATGATTTGAAGAAAAAAAAATATCCCAGTGGCGTATTAAGTAATTTAAAAAACAATCAATTTATAATTAAGGGAGGAAGATAAGGGTGTGGGAGAAGGGAAGAGGGGGAGAGAAACATTTACATTTATTTAAATTTCGATTGATGATGCGGAACGATTGCATCGAATATTAAAAAAAAAAAAAAAAAAAAAATTTTAATTGAAATCCAATTCGTAATCGTAATTTCGTAATAATAATAATAATGTTTAAAGTAAATGTTATATTTCTCTCTTTCTCTCTCTCTCTCTCTCTATTTTTCTACAACCACTTCCTTTTTTTATATCTTTTCACGTTTACTCTCTCTCTCTCTCGTTTTTTTTTTTAAATTACGTAAGTCGATTTGAGAGAATGAAAAAAAAATTTATTTAATAGTTTTACAAAAAATGATTATTATTATTATTATTATTACGTTCGTGTCATTAGAATTTAAAAAAAAAAAAACTATTAAATGACGTTTAGCTATTGTTTAGATAGTTTTTTCTTTTTTTTTTTCGTTGTAATTAAACGAAATATTTGTCCCCGTTAATGTTGAATGAATTATGTAAAAAAAAAATTTTTATGTCAACAACAACGACGACAACAACAACAACCAAAACAACCACAACCACCACAAAAACAACATTTTTCTCAGGTTTAGTAAAAAATGATTTTAGTAAAACTTAGAGTGAAAATTTTGCGAAAAAATTTTTAAAAAAAAAACTCGAATGAAACCTGACACGAAAAAAAAAAAAAAAAAAAGTTGAAAATTTTTTTTAAAAAAATAATAATGATGATAATAATAATGATAAACTTGTCGTGGAATTAGAATTTTTATTATTTTTTTTTTTAAATAAAATTTGTGACAAGATTTTTTAAATAGAAAACGAAAGTTGAAAAACGTTTACGTAAAATTCGTTAAAACTAATGATAATAATAATAAATATTATTATTATTATTATTATTATTATTATTATTATTATTATTATTATTATTTTACGTTGACCGCAAATCGTTGTTGAAATAATTTCGTAATGATAAAAAAAAATTTTTTTTGTTTTTGTTTTTTTTTTTTTTTTTTGCTAACGTTAATAATTTTTTTACTTTCTGTTATTTCTTTACTAAACAATGGCAAAAATTTAAACGATGGAAATGGGAGGTGTAAATGAAATTTTTTTTTTTTATTGCTTTACCTCGCGGCATTTTTTATTTTTTTTTATTTTACGAGTTATTATTATTATTACTTTACTTTCAGGTAGTTGAATTATATAGTACTATTGACACGACGTAAATGTAATTATATTAAAACCACTTTGAAACGGTTGAATAATTAATACTTTTTAATAAAATTCCTTAAAAAACAAAAATTTACGTTTGAGTTTAAGCTGACGAGGAAAATGTCGTGGTTTTAGATAATTTTAATACAAAAGGTTTTGTTCATTATTTAAAAGCGTTCGCGAACGGAAATTGGAACGGATCATTGTGATGATGATGATGATGATTTTACGGTTTTTTTTTTAAATTAAAAAAAAATTTTTTTCTCAAATTTTCAAGATGGCGTCTTTAATTTAGTTCAGATGATGAATGAATTGAGATAAAACGTTAACATTATTTAAGTTTAAATTAGAAATTTTTTTATAATGCATTATTTATTAGTAAATGATAATAATAATAATTTTCTTTTCTCAATCGACGACAGACAGTCCGGCGCCATTTTTTTTTTTTGGGGGGGGGAAGGAGGGAGGAAGGAAATTTAATTGGATGTCGATCATATCGTATAAAGCTCGTAGCACCACAACAATAAAGAATATTTAGAGAAAAAAAAATGTCGCGATTTTAAAATGTGCGACATTAATAAGTATCGGGGGTATAAAAAAAAAAAAAATGGCGACGAAATGATTTCGTACGTTCACTCGTTCGTTCACTAAAGGTCACACGTGCAAAAAAAAAAAAAATAACAACGTGAAATTTTAAAAAAAATATTTTTCTCGTTTTTTCTTCCTCTTTCTCTCTCTCTCTCTCTCTCTCTCTCTCTCTCTCTCTCTCTCTCTTTTCGGTTTGTGCTTTTGTGTGTTTCTCTCTCTCTTTCAGCCTCTCTTTTTCTACTTTTTTTCTTTTTTTTCCTATTTCTGCCTCTGTGTGTGTGTCTCTCTCTGCCTTTCTGCCTGTGTGTGACTAATATATCTCTCTCTTTCTCTTTCTTTCTGTTCCTCATCTCGTTTTCCTCTTTCTCTCTGTCTTTCTGTGTCTTTTTACTTTATTTCTCTTTTTTTTTCTTTCATCTTCTCCAACCTCTGTCTTTCTCATTATTCGTCTCATTTCATTTTCATATTTTTCCCTCTCTATGTCTCTCTCTTTCCTCTATCTTTTTCTTCTTTCTCTCTCTCTCTCTCTCTCTGTTTTTTCACTTTCACCCTCCCTTACCTCTCTATTTCATATTTTTTTCTCACTCTCTCTCTTTCTTCTCTTTTTGCATTTCTTTTTATTTTTTTCTCTTTTTCCCCTTGTTTTTCTGTTTCTCTTTGCTTTTCTCTTCCTCTCTCTCTCTCTCTCTCTCATTCCTTCTCATCTAGTGTATTTTTCTTGTCTCTCTCTCTCTATTTGTTTCTCTCTTTATCCCTCTTGTCGTTTTCATTTTTTATCCTTTCCTACCTCTCGTTTTAATCTTTCTCTCTCTTTGTTTTTGTCTTTCAATCCCTTCTCTATCTCTTTATTTTTCATCTCGTTACTGTTTATTTGTTTCTCTCTCTCTCCCTCTCTCTCGCTTTTTTTAGGAAATCCCGTGTGAAATTTAATATTATTCACTCAAACGAACAACAAAGGGAAAATTTTTTTTTTTTTTGCTAATGAAACAAGGTTTTAACATTAAAGTGAAAAAAAATTCGTAAACGTCATTTTTAATTATTTATTTATAAAAGAACAAAAAAAAAAAAAAAAAATTACGGATGGTCGTGTAATTTTTGGATCGGGTTCCGCTACTTCCACGTCATTAATAAATTTTCAAAACGCGAATTTTCCTTTTCCCATTAAATATTTTTGGTTTTTTTTTCTTTTCCTTTTTATTTATCGAAAAAATGAAAACGATATAAATTATTAATAATTATCGATAAGTTAATCGACGTGGAAATAAAAATAAAAATTTATTTTTTTTTTTACTTCCACGATGTTTTTTTTTTTTTATTACAAAGTATCGAATTTGGATTTTCGATATCGAAAAAAATGGTCGATATCGAAAAGGTTCGCATTTTATTAATTTTATCAAACGTTTTTTTTTTCTAGAATTTAATGAATAAGAATTTTTTAAAAAAAAAGTTTTTTAATTAACTAATCTACTACTACTGCCACGATAATTTCAAATGAATTTTATTTAATCAACTTTAATTATTAATTAATCAAACATTTTTATTTGACGCGTGTAAATTAAAGTCGAAAAAAAAAAAAAAAAAGAAAAGAAAAAAAAATTGACGTTTGTAATTATAACGTGTCATAAGAATAATTATCATTTCAACGGTTTTTTAAAACATCATCAAAAGTTTTTTTTTTTTTTTTAAATTTTTAATGACTTTTCGTTTTTTGCTTTTAGGTTTATGCGAAGTAGAAAATGGCGAATCGAATATTATCGTAGATATAAATGAAAGTAGAGGAAATGGTAAGTTCCACGATTTTATTTTTACAAAATAACGTTTGAATGATGCTTCCACGACGGAAAACTAAACGTAAATTTTTTTTTTTTTTTTTCATTTAAATAATTTATTATTATTATTATTTAGAAATAACTCAGGTGACCACGCCGGAAGAATTGCCAATTATCGGTGATCCATTTTCCGAAGTGGCATTAGATCTTATTTTTTCTAGTCGTAAACCAATATTTATATTAAATGGAAAACGACTTCAACTTCTCGAACCGTTGGATCGAGATAAAGACAATTTATCTCACATTGTTTTTCAGGTAAGTAAAACAAAAAAAAATTTCAAAATTTTATTTATTTATTTATATGCGTGGTTTAATAGTTAACCGTGGGAGCAGAAACCGTGAAATCATAAATTAATCCGTATGTAGTTTTTTTTTTTTTTTCGTTTTACGGTTCATCCGTTTAATTTCGACCGTTTGAAAAAAAAAAAAAAAAAAAAAATTAAAATTGTGATTTATTTTATTTCTCAAATATTTTTTACACGTTTTTTGATTTAGCTAATTACACGTCAACTCAAACAATGTGAAATGGCGAGAGAAAAAAAAAATTTTTATTTATTTATTTTTTTTTATGAATGAATGATAGAGAGGAAGCACAGAAAAAAAAAAAAAACAAAACGATAATGAGATAATGGAATTTTTCAAAAACGTGTCATTAGACACGATTCAAAATTATTTATTTTAATTTTCGTCTGGTTTATTTATTACGTTAATTACAAGAAAATTTTAATTTTTTTAAATCGTTTTTTTTTTTTTAATTTGAATATGGGGGGGCGAAAAAAAAAAATTACGTCACGTTTACATATCGAAAAAATCGAGATTATTCGAGATAATTCGATAATCGAATTTTAAATCGTTTTTTTTTTTCGAATAAAATTAGTAAAAAATTGAAAATTTAAAAAAAAATTCTAAATGCTATTAAAGTTTTTTATAGAAAAAAAAAAAAAAAAAAGGTTTGGAATTTGAATTTGCGCGGGAAAATTTAAATTTTTCAAAACAAAATGGATGATGAATGATGGAAATTCTTTCATATTTTAAAATGATTCTCTCTCTCACTCTCGCTCTCTATCTCTTTCTTCTTTTTTTTTTCCTTCTCGCTTTTTTTTTATTGTTGTCCGTTTATAATTTATTTAACATTTTGATTGAGCGTTAAGTGTCTGTCGGTTCTTTTGCAAAAAAAAAAAACATTTTGACGCACGTCTAGTCGCACGTCGTCTGCTTGTCGTCGTTTGCGTCATTTTTAACAGGAGCGCAAATAGGATTTAACTTCTTCCGTCTCCGCCGTTCGAATCGGGGGAAAAAAGAAAAAAAAAAAAATTCCAAAAACGTTTCTTTGAAATAATTAAATAAAAAAAATAAAAAAAAAAGTGAAACGTTCGTTCATTTACGTTATTTTTATTTTGTTCCATAGAGTAATAATAATAATAATTTTATTGTTGTCAACGGTCGGGATTTTTGTCGCACTTTTGTTAAAAAAAATTTTATTTATTTATTTAATTTAACTTTGTTTGATTTTTTTTTTTTTTTATGTTTTCTTTAATTAAAAAAAAAAAAATTCTCATTTTCGATTTTTTTTCGATTTATAATCGAAATAACGGAAATAATTTATTGTTAATTCCATAGAGTAAATAATTTTTTAAACGAGCCGAGGGATGAAGAAATGTGATGATTATATCTCGTGATTATTATTCACTCATTTCTGAAACGTTTTTTTTTTTCCCCCTTTTTTAAAAATGGTTTCTTTTCTTTTTTTATTATTGTATTCTTTTGTTTGTTTGTTTGTTTGTTTGTTTGTTCGTTTGTTTGTTTCAGTTAAATTTAATTAAAGCGACGTTTTAATAATTAAAACGAAAAAAAAAAAAAAAATCGTGAGTTTTACAATCGTGAAAGTTTCTTTTTGTTTTTTTTTGTTTTTTTTTTTTGTGATATGAATGAAATTGAAATTCTTCACGTATGCGTTTTTTTTGTTTGTTTTGTTTGTTGTGTTTGTGCCGTTCTAATTTTTTTTTTTTAAATTTCGTACAATAATATTATTATTATTATTATTATTATTATTATTAGTCTGTATGAATGTTGTGTGTGAAACACGTACTTGTTAAAACCTGATTACTTTCGTTATTTGCGGTTGTTGTATGGGGAAAAGTTGTTACGTAACATTTTTTTTTTTTTTTTTTACGACGCCATTTTATTTTTTCCTCTCGAATGTTTTATTATTATTATTATTATTATTATTTTCTTCCCCCTAATTTTTTCCCTTATTTGAAGAATCTTGTCCGAATTTTATTATTATTATTATTAATAAATTTTCTCGACGACTCTAATGTGTCACCACCGTTGACGACATTTTGTTTTTCAAACGGAATCGTGAAAACGTGTCCGCCATATTTTTTTTTTTTCACGGATTATGTCGTGTGAACGGTTTTTCTGCTTCCACTTCTATAAAAAAAAATAACGACACGCTAAAACGGTTAATTTTAATTTTATCTTATTAAATCGTATTTAAGTAAAAGAAAAGAGGAAAAAAGAAAGAAAATCTCGCGAAATTTCGTTTCTCGCGAGATTATTATTATTATTACGGTTGTTGTTGTTGTTGTTTGTTGTTGTTGTTTTTGTAATTATTTATTTATTTATTTATTTTCAGTTGACGTGTTCGGTTAAAAATAAAAACAAGAAAAGAACGATTCCAGTCATAGTGAGAGTTTCCGACATAAACGACAATGCTCCGCATTTTATTAACACTCCATACGAAACGACAGTATCGGAGGTAAGTGATCATCCCCTCTCTCTCTTCATCACTCTCTATCTCTTTTCCTCTCTCTCTCTACCCCCTAAGCCAAAAATAAATTCTCCAGAGAGAGAGAGAGAGAGAGAAAACCGATTAAGAACAGGTAAACTTTTACGGTGAAAATAATTAATATTAATCCGGGTGAATTTTTTTTTTAAAAATGTTTTCCGATAAAGGTCAAAAGGTCAAAAAAAAAAAAAAAAAACGATGAGACGTTCACACACGTCACCGTTAATAATATTATAAAACTAATTGAAAATTTAATTTTATCGAGGATACGTACATATTATTATTATTTTTTTATTTTTATCGGGGTCATCGTGGATTTAGAAGAAGTTTTAATCATCGGGTCGTGTCATCAACCGTCACTTTTTTTTTTTTAAACCGTCACGATATTAATTTTTTGTTATTAAAAATTCAATTGTGTGTGCAATATTTTTCTCATTTCGACTGTTAAAAATGACAAAAAAAAAAAAAAAAAAAAAGATTTGAGAAGATGGCGACGATGACGATGACAACAAAAAAATTTTGATGGTTTTTTTCTTTCTTTCTTTCTTTCTTTCTTTCCTGGAAAAATGAATAATTTTATGACGACAAAAAAATGGACGAACGACGAATGGAATCGTGGAAAATTTCTAGAAAATTCTCGCGTCTGAGAATAATAAATATTCGGTATCGATCGGGAAACGGAAAATAAATTCCAAAAGACTGGAAAACGATGATAACGTGGATAATAAAATGAGAAGAAAAAAAGGTTCCGGAGGAAGGAAGGAGAGGAGGCAGGGAGGGGGCGAAGGAAAATAAAAAAAGATAAATTTCAAAATAATCAAATCGTTTCAAATGATACCCCCGCTCCCTCCCCCCGAAAAAAAGTTTAATTCCATGACGAAAAAAAGAAAAACGGCAGGAAAAACAAACAAACAAACAAAGAAAAATATTATTATTATTATTATTATTATAACGAATTTTTTTTGCCTAAAAATAAGAAATGACTTAGAAATTTCCGCGCGAGTTTTTTTTTTTTTTTTGTATTTCTGGAGAAATAACGAGTCTCTGGAGAAATTTTTTTTTCCCTTCATTTTCCCGGTTCTTGAACTGAATTGTTATATCTTGCCGGGAAGTCATTTCCCCCCCTCCCCGGGGGTCACCGACCCCCCGGGTGGTAAATGTTTCCTCCTGAAATTTTTCACATGTTTTTTCTTTTTTTCCCCCCGGCGTTCGAGAAAGGAGGGAAAAAAATGGAAAAGGAAAATCGGAAATGATTTTTTTCAAAAAAAAATTAATTTCGTCATCGTCATCACGATTACGTCATAAATTCGTTAAACTTTTCCCCCCGTCCCTCCTCTTCCTCCTTCTCCCAATCGAAAACGAGGTTAAAGGTAACGAACGATACAGAAAAAATTATTTCTCGGCTCGAATGTGATAGTAAATTCGTATTAATAATTATCGACGTATTTAATTCAATCGAGTCTATTGACACGATCGAATCGGATTTTATTATGGTATGCGTGCTCGTTACGTGTTTCTTAATTAATTTTTTTTTTATTGTAATTCCGATGCGTTTTAATTCCACGATCGTTGGGAGAGAGAAAGTTTAAAAATCGTAAAATTGAAATATTTTTAATTTCCGACGTGGAAATAGAACGCGGGATCGATCGTGTTTTATATTTCACGTTACAACGTCAAACAAAACAAACAAAGCAAAAAAACGGATTAAGATAGTATTTAGAAATAAAAAAAAAGAAAATTTAATTTTCCCGGAATTAAAGTTTTCCTTTATTTATTTAAACTCGATTTAACGAAAATTTTTTCCCAGTCGTGGAATAAGAAAACAAAAGGAAAAATTGTGATAAGTGATTAAAATCTTTTTCTCTCTCTCTCTCTCTCTCTTTGTTCCAGAATCTCGTTTCATTTTTCAATTTTGTTTTTTTAAAGAAAAAAAAAAAACCATTTTATCGATTTTCTTTTGACACGGTCGATCGAATAATCTAAAACTACGATTTTCTTATCATTATTATTATTATTAAAAAATAATTAATTAAAATTAAAAATCAAATTTTTTCATCGTTTGAAAATTGATTACTGGAAAATTCCAGTCGTCATTTTCTCCCCCTCGGTTCCCCTTCTCCACTCACCAGGTTCTTCTTCTCTTTCACTCGTATTTTTCTACTTCCCCGGCGGAAAAAACAATGAGAAAAACTGGAACCTGGAATTCATTTTAAATGAAAAAAAAAATTTCATAATAATCTCTTTAAATGAATGTGAGAGTTAATGTTTAACTAACGATGAAACAAGTCAATTAATAATAATAATTTTTTTGTATTTGTATATTTTTCAGCTCACTCCGGTCGGCACGACGATTTATCAAAATATTCTTGCGAAAGATTCGGATGCTGGAGTCAACGGTTTGGTCGAATATTCCATAGTTCCAGGAGATGGTAAAAATTTAATAACGACGAACGGAGTCGGTAGAAATAGGATAACCGTAGGTGACGGTTACGGGTATTTTTCAATAAATTTACCACATCAGGGTCAAGTGACCGTCAACAGGAGCCTGGATTATGAAAAAACGCAAAGATATTTGGTCACGATCGTCGCGTCGGTGAGTTTCGAACGTTGAAATCGTTGGAAAGACCGGAAATTGACCGAACGGTCAAATCATTTCCGGTTAAATCCGACGACGCGAGAGACGACGACGAGGTCGAACGCAATCCTTACCCCCTTCCTTCCTCTCCCTCCGATAATGTTAAACGTTTTTTTTTTTTAAACTAATTTAAAATTCTTCCTTATCACGCCCCTGATATTTCGTAATATTATTATTATTATTATTATTATTATTATTATTATTACTATTATCATTCACGAGAAAAAAAAAAATTTAAATTTAAAATTGGGTCAAACAAAATTAAAAAAAAATTTTCCACCGGGATTTTCCCACCTTTTCCCTCCATTTTTTTTTCTTTTCCACGTGAAGTCTCTTTTTCTCTCTCTCTCTCTCTCGTAAAAATAAATATTATTTTTCTTCTGCTTTTTTAAATTTTATATTACGTTTATTATTATTATTATTATTATTATTTAAATTTAAAATGGTTAATTAAATATGAAATTCAAGGGTCGGTCGCGAGGATTAAAATGATTTATTTTGTTTGTTTTTTTTTATGCGTCTTCTGCTTGAAATTCCCCTTAAGAGTGGATATTAAATTTTTTACATTTAAATAAATAAATTTTCAGGATCGTCCGAGAAATTCGTCGGAAAAATTTTCATCGACCACGACTCTCACAGTCAACGTGAAAGACGAAGACGATCAAGAACCTTCTTTCATATACAAAGGATGCATGCTGTTGGATGGAGCTTGCATAAATCCAGAATATAGCGCATCGGTAAGTAAGTGGTACTAGACACACGCTCTTTCTCCTTCCACGACAAACACGCACATTAAAAAACGGTTTTCCGTTCAAATGAACGTAACCGTCGCTCGACCGTTTCGTCATTTTTTTTTTTCGTTTAAAAACGGTTGCTATTGTAAATTTTTACGCTTGCGGTTTACCCGAAAAGAGGAGAAGGAAAAAGGAGAGGTCACGAGGTTACGGGAGGTGAGGAGAGAGAAAGAGAGAGATAGAGAGATAGAAAAATTTTTAACGGGAAACGAAAGTAAAATTTTTTAACGGTTTTTTTTTTTATCGTTTGTCGTCGCGTTTGTTTCTCTCTCTCTCTCACTTGTTTGTTTCCCACGTCACATTTTTTTTTGTTTGTTCGGTGATGACACCGAGTAATGTGTCACACGATACCGCCGCATGCGGTTTGAAATTTTAACGGTTTTTTTTTTTTTTTTTTTTTTTTTGCTATCCGCAAGGTGTCGAGCGGTGTTTTGGCAGGTGTTTTGCACATATCCCCGGAAAAAATTCAAGCCGTCGATATGGATTCGTTAAATGCCGCCATAGAATATGGTTTCTTAAGCGGAAATCCATTAAATTACGCCGAATATTTTCAAATCAATCCGACGACTGGAGTCGTCAGACAAATTCGTCCAGTCGATACAACCGTGACGAAAAATTTCGACATAATCATTAAGGTATAAAAATGAATGATGATGATGATGATGATGATAATAATGATTGAATGGTATTTATTTATTTATTTTTTTCCCCCCTTCATTTTGAAAGGCTGAAGAAGTTACCGAAGCGAGAAAATTCACGACAGCAAAATTATCGATAACGGTTAAACCCGTTGATGTTAATCCACCCGTGATTACGACAACGTCAGACGAGGGATCGGTTTTGGAAAATGCACCCATCGGTACTAAAGTACTTGATAAAGATGGATTCCCAATCAGATTATCCGTTTCCGATCCGGATTTGGTAATTTTTTTATTTTTATACATCGTCAAACCTTTGTATATATATATATAAAAATTAGTTTATCTGATTCCACGTTTTTTTTTTTTTTTTTTAAATAGAGTCCCGAGGATCCGCAACCGGTTTACGCTTACGAACTCACCACCGAATTTTTTCAAATTGACAAAGAAGGATATTTAATAGTTAGTCAGGAGAATTTAGACAGAGATCCACCCAGCCCCGGAAAATTTAGATTTCAAGTCGTCGCGAGAGAAAAATCTGATAGCGGAAATGCTGCGAGCGCTCCGATAACGCTCACGGTATCTCTAAAAGATGTCAACGATAATGCTCCGACATTGCAAATGATTCCTCCCATAACCGTTGAAGCCGGTGAAGGAAAGAGAGAAGTTGTCAGGGTACGTCACGTCGATCGATTTTTTTTTTTTTTTGTGAGTTGGTATGCGTTGCGTGATGATGTGTAAAATTTACAGGTCGAAGCAACGGATAACGATTACGGAGAAAACGCTGTCATAACCTACAGCATTTATCACGTGTCGAATAACGGTAGAGGAAAATTTAAAATAGATCCACGTACTGGTCTCGTGACGACGTCGGGAAAATTAATCGCCGGTGAACAATACAGCATTACGGTACAGGTAGGTAAGATGGATGAGGGAGAAGGAGATGACAAAAGAATGAACGAAGATGTCTAATCTGTACTTCGATTACCTTTAGGCTACAGATACGGGAGGAAAATTAAGTCAAACGATTGTCGAAGTCACGGTCATACCAGGGCCAAACACAAGAAGTCCTGTATTTTCCCAACCCGTGTACGATCTTCAAGTGAGCGAAGGTGCATCTATAAATTCAACTGTTGCCACGATCATAGCCGTCGATCCAGAAAAAGATCCCGTGACGTATTCCATTCTCACAGGTAACGATTTGAGACAATTTGCCATAGGTTACAAATCGGGAGTGATAAGCGTTATAAGAAAATTGGATCGGGAAGATCTCACGAGATATCAACTGGTGAGTCAAATGTCATCATCGTACCTAATCACGTGTGGAACACGAGTCGGATGAAACGTGTACGATTTCGTTACAGCTCATAAAAGCAGAAGACACGGGAGGACTTTCGAGCACAGCCACGGTCAACATAAAAGTCACGGATATAAACGATAAAAATCCCGAATTTGTCGATTTGCCATACGAATTTAAAGTCAACGAAGGTGAAATCAATCAAACGGTCGGTACCGTACACGCCGTCGATTTAGACGAAGGGATAAACGCTTTGGTATCATATTCTTTACCCTCCGATATACCCTTCGTCATCAACGAAACGACTGGAGTGATAAAAACGTCGGCTGCTTTGGACTACGAAACTCTAAAGGTTTGATATTCATCCCGAATCTTCCCATTTTCTTTTCTGGAATTCCCATGATAAATTTAAGAATTGTTAAAATTACAGGAGCATAAGTTTGTCGTCACCGCAATGGACGGTGCACCCGATCCTCGATTGTCGACGGCAACGGTAACCGTTAAAGTCATGGACGTCGAAGATGAAGTACCCGTTTTTAACATATTAGAATATAAATCCGTAGTTCCCGAAAACGTACCTGGATACATGATCATCAAAGTGAAGGTTTTGGAATAAAAAAAAAAAAATTTACACATATTTTACGTTACGACGTAATCATCATTAATATCCGCGTTTGTTGTTTGTTTTAAAGGCGGACGACATGGATACGATAAAGAAAATAACTTACGTCATCAAACAAGGTCCGACTGATTTATTCATGGTTGATTCCGTCACCGGAGAACTCAAATGCACGAGAGGTTTAGATTACGAAAGAGAAAGTAATTATACGATAATAATAGGAACAAACGAAAATCAATCTGATAAACCTGGTGCCACGACAAAAGTCTACATTCAAGTTGAGGTAATTAATGAGGTCACGTGTGTGTGTGACGTATGTCACGAAGATTTTCGTTAACATTCATTAAACGTTTTCAGGATCGAAACGACATACCTCCCGTATTCACATCCGTTCCAAAACCGATAACTTTAGAAGATGAAATCGCCATAGGTACGTCCGTACTCACGTTAACGGCAACGGATTCTGATGGCACGTCACCGAACAACGTTGTCAGATACGAATTGATAGGACGAAGAAAAGCCAACAAATATTTTCAAATAGATCCGGATAAGGGAGTTTTACAAATAAAAGATGATTTGAGAAAAGAAACCGACACCGAGTATCAGGTATGATTTGTTTCTTCCTCGAAAAAAAAAAAAAAATGGCGAAATATTTTAATTAAAATAACTATAAAAGTTTACGTAATATATATATATATAAAAGTCGTAAATTACATTTAAATTCGTAATTAAAAATGTTTACGGCTCCCGCCCCGCCCCCCCCCCCCCCCAACAAAGTTGTTCTTTTTAATTACCTCCTTTTTTTTTCTTTTTGTAACGGTCATTTCGATGAAAGTTTCCGCCATTATAACGTAAGTGCTGCGCTCTATTAGTAATTATTTCGTACTAAAAGCGAACGTTACAACATTCTATTGTCGTGATATTTGTTTACCTTTTCTCTTTTTTTTTTTTTTTTTTTAAGATCGATGTGAAAGCGTACGATTTAGGAGAACCGTCACTGTCGTCCGTGACGACGGTACCCGTTTACGTGAGACACACGGCGACGGTACCACCGGAAATAGGATTGGGTTTCGCCGATGATTTTTACACCATAGAAGTATCGGAAAATGCAACATCGAGGCAGCTCATTAAGACGTTAGTCGTCATAAACGGAAGAGCGCATAACGGTGCGGTACCCCTTAAATGCGATATAATAAGCGGAAATAACGAGGGTGAGTGATGACGAAATATCCTTCCCCTCCCCCTCTCCCTCTTCGGCGCCATCGAAAATTTTTTCTTTTTCTATTTTGGTTTTCCAGGTCTTTTTTACACGAACATAACATCGGAAAGAAATTGCGAAGTCAGATTAAAATTGGCAAAATTGGATCACGAAACAACGGAAGAATATCAACTCAACATAAAACTCGATACTCTCTCGGGATTGGTCAATCCGCAAAAATCGTTGACGACTTTAAAAATCCACGTGACCGACGTGAACGATAACAAACCGGAATTTGTTTTCCCGCCATTAAAATATAAAAATCCACCGAATTCGAACGTTTATTACGCGGCCATACCCAAAGACTCTCAATTCGGAACGAACGTTTTAACCGTCAAAGTGAGTAGTTTCCGTATTTACCCGCGTGAGTGCGCTCGCATAAGTGAATCGTCGATGACGTAATTTAAAAAATTTTGTGTCATAGAGTAATAGTTAAAATTTTTCATTCCGTTTCAGGCCACCGACAGCGATAGCGGTCGTTATTCGTACGTTTCTTACGAAATATTACCCAACGGTAAAAGTTCGGATTATTTTGCCATTGACAACGTGACGGGAGTCGTGAGAACGAAAAAATTATTCGATTCTATCGGTAAAGATTCTTTGCCGTTCATATTTAAAGTGTTGGCAAGAGATAATTACATGTTTCCATCGAATAGTAACACGAACGAAGCTAAAGTAGTCGTGAGTAGCAACAGCATCAGCAGCAGTACTGTTGTTATGACGTCATATATAAACATTAATAATGTTTTGTTTTTTTTCCGTTAGGTTAATCTCATAGACAACGAAAACAGATTGATATTGGTGTTGGAAGATGCGAAAAGAGATTTGGTACAAGAATCTAAAACGGACATTGAGGGGATATTACAAGAACATTCGGGATTGATCGTGGGAATAGAAAAATTCACGCCAAAGCATTATTTAACGGAAAATAAAACTCTCGAATCCGATAACACGGGTACCGATATATGGTTTTACGCTATTGATCCGGAAACGGAAACAATTTTGGATATAAATCAAACGAAAATTCAAAGGTAAAATTTTTTTTTTCGGGGGGAGGGAGGGGGGTAAGAAATTTCGTTATATTCATTTAATCCATTGTTTGTTTGTTTTATTATTAATCAGGTCGATATTAGATAAGGGAGTCATGTCGAACATAACATTTGACGTTTCCGGTAACATTCAAGTCACCGCTTCTATGATTCACGCACCTCTCGCGGAAACGAAACCTAGAACGGCCATCGCCGGCGCGACTTGGGATATTTTCCCATACACGATAATAATAATTGCTTGTCTCATATTGGTTTTGGGATTAGTCGGAATCGTTTATATTTGTATATCGTGGTCGAGGTAATACGATCTCTCGATCGATCGATCGATTAATCGAATTTTCAAAAGGGTTACGTAACGAATCGATATCGATTTATTTACAGGTACAAAGCATTCAAGGAAAGAATGCAAAGGAGTTACGTAGTGCCGAGATACGATCCTGTTTTCGTAGGGGAACCGAATAATTTAAAAGAATACGAGACACAAGTGTTGCAAATGAGCGTACCTTTGGACGACAACGAAAGTTACAACGATTTACAATTGGATTTCAGTGCGAAAAATCACGCTTTCAGCATGGAAAACGTTAATTACATCACGAAGGAAAACAATCGAAGCGGCGGCGGTGGTCAAAGTCCGACGTTGAGTTACGACGCGAATACGACAGCGAGAACATCAACGCTTTCTGGCGGCGGACATCACAACAACAATTTGCTCAATAATCACAACGATTTTCAAAATTCAACGAATTCGTTTTTCGGAAGGTAAAAAAAAAAACAAAATGGCGGCGCCCGTAAGTTTTTATTTTTTATTTATTTTAACTAAATATTAATATTTGTTTTGTTTTCCGAATCGATATAATTCAGATCGTCAGACGATTCGATAACGAATAATTTAAATACGAGTCCGACAAATGAAAACGTCATGTTCAGGGAGAAAAAAGACTTTAATTCTCACAATATAAATTATAACAACAACGATAGATCACCCGTTGAAACAACGACGGAACTTTGATTTCAAATTTCTTTTTTCCACACAACAAGACTGTTTGAATTAAAAGTTTAAATAATATGGGGGAAGAAGATGAAGAAGAAATGTGGGAAACGTTTGTTTCGTGACGTTATTTAGTCATTAGTCGTCGTAACGTCATCATCGGGAATTATAAAAAATTTTTGTATTGTAAAAAAAACAAACAATAGTTATAATAATAATAATAATAATAATAAAAACCTAAAAATAAAAATAAATAAGAAAGAATTAAGTTTTTTGAGTGATTAATCATACAAAAATCTTTCATCGTTAATATATATAAGTTTTGTGTGCCACATAAATGTTGTACATACGTATATATATAAATTTATATGAATAAAATATATTATTTAGGTTTTTATTTGGTTTCCGTTTAAAAATTGTTTCAAAAAATAAAAATTATTTTATTTAATTAATAAATATTATTATTATTATCGCCGTGTTTTGTTTTGTTTTTTTTTTTAAACGTTTATAAATGATAAGTGATGTGAATAAAAAAGATAAACAAAAGAAAAGGAGGTAAAATGTCGTGATTTTAGAAGGCGGTGATTTGATTATCCTTCCACGACAGTTTCAAATGTAAATTATTAGTAACGTTCGACAACAAGATGGCGTAACATTGAATTTAAAGATGTAAGTAAAAAAAAAATTTTTTTAACGTTTTTTTTTTTATTCTAATAATATTTTATTTTTATTTATTTAACGATAATAATTATTAATAATTAACAAAAAATTCAAAAGTTTCGATTCTATTAATTGTTTTTATTATTTAAATGTGATTTTAAACTTTTTCCGCGACCGTTATTTTTTCACCTGCTTTTTCATCATCATCATCATCGTCTTCATCGTCACCATCTTCGTCATCTTTATTCGAATCTTTAAAATTTCGATTGGATTCCGTTGATTTTGATTTCAAATTATCATCTTTAACATATTTCGTCACGTCTATTGAAAATTTTTCATTTGATGGCGGACTCGTACACCAAATCCATTTGATAAAATCACCATCTCTTTTAGGTTTGTGATTCATTACATCTTTTAACAAATGAATGAAATTCTCTTCTATTTTATTCGATTCCATTGCTAAATTACCAATAATGCATTCCATTCTTCCAAAATTTTCTAATGATAAAGGTTTCGTACAGGAATATTGTATTCCATGTTTAAACCTGATAACATCAACCGTAAAAGTAAATTTTGTTTCGTTATTCGATAAAATCCAACCATTCGTTAACTCACCTGTGAATGGCAGATGGTAAATCATCAGTAAGAGTACCAGCTTTTGCTCTTGGCATTCTAGTTTTTAATATATTTCTTATGAGTGTTAATTCTGGGAAAAAATCTTTTTCGCATAAAATAAATTCATAAATTGATATTTGAACATCTCCATCCTAAAACAAATTAGAAAAACAAAAAAAAATCTCACCAAAAATGGACAAAATCACTCATCATAAATGGTAGAAAATATTAGAAAAAAAAAAAAAAAACAAACTTTAACTTTATTAACCAACGATGTGGCTCCTGCAGTGGTAGCACCGCTTTCGACAGCTTCCTGTACTTTATTACTATTACAAAAAACTAAAATATCTTTTTTTAGTTCTTGATTAATGGGATGCGGTATTGCAGCTATCCCTTGAAACGATTTTAAAAATTTTGTCTGTAAATAATTTCTTTACATAATGATAATATAGAAAATAATAATAATAATGATTTGAAATTGGTTTACATACTCCTTTGGGATTTTTAGTCATGTCGAATTCGATTGATACTTTTACATCAGCATATGGATTATTAAAAACTGTTGGATGATGAAATTCTCTATGATTATCAACAGCTTCGACAATTGAATATTTTTTATATTTGAATTCTTCTTCAATGAAAATATCATCTGTGGGTATTTCCGGTTTGTTTCTTTCTTCGGTAACGGTTACGTTAGTAAAACTTGCATTCGTCTTGCTAAAAATTCAATACACATATAAAATGAAAATGTTTTAATTAAAAAAATTAATTTGATCAACAAATTTTAAAAAAATAATCAACCTTGGTTTTTTCGTCTCTTTTTCATTAGCTAATTTTTCTATTTTTCTTTTTTTTTGTAATTGTAATGCTTTTTGCCTGTAACCTTTTCTAGCAGCGAAACGTTTTTGTAGGTTAAGATTATTAGGTACGACCATCCACGAACAGTCAAATAAAGGTTTCGTTGCGTTAAAAACTAATCCACCTGTTTAAAAAAATGTCGCGAATCAATTAAAAATATAATTCCCGTTCGATTTCTTTCGTTAAAATAGTAAAAAAGGGAAAAAAATAGTAATGTAAAAAGGTTTACCACAGAATCGGAGAGCCATTTTGAATTGCGTCTAATCCCACGACAAACAAATATGTCGTTATTGATGTTGTGTTAATAAATGTCCGTAGAAAAAAACATTTTCTTTTGCTTTTTTTTTTTTATTGTTAACGGGAAATTGTTATTATAAAATTTTAAAATCATGGATACGTTATAGATTGTTATTTATTTAATTTTATCGTTTTAAATTATTTATATAAAATTAAAAAAAAAAAAAAAAAAAAAGTTTTGGGTTTGAAATCTTTTTGTTGACAAGGTATTTTCATACTTTGCTTAGTTTTTTATTATTTTTTACTTATTTCTAAGCTTTTTAATATGATTTTTTTTTATTTCCTCTTATTTCTTATCATTTTTACTATCGTTGAGTCTTTTTTGCTGCTAATAAATTTGCTGTCATTCAATTTACATGTCATTTGTAAATTTAACAAGTTACTATTGGAAATTGAATATTTTGGGGAATTTTAGCCTAATTTTTCATATTTATTCATTCATTTATAGATTATATCTCACTTTCTTTTTTTTTTCTATATATGCAGGAAAATAAATTTTTTAAAATGTTTAAGAAAAAATCAAATTTACCACCACAACCTCAATGTCCATCGACAAATCAAATGATTGAAGATTTATCAAATTCGACAAATGATGATAGATTATTTATTTCATCAATAAAAATAATAATAAATAAAAATTATGAATCTGTGAATGGTGAAGACGATTATGAAAAAATAAAAAATTTCTTTCTCGCACATGAAAAATTACAAAACCTAATGGAAAATCTTGAAGCCGTTAAAACAAGTTTATCGATTAAAGAATGCGATATTAAAAAATTAGCTGATGAATTAAAAAATCAAGCGATAAAAGCATTGATTTAATTTTTTATTTTTTTTTTTTTATATAATAAATTTATATTTTAATAAATCATTATTATTTAAATAAATTTTTGTTTAAGTTTATCATTTCTTGAAAAAAAATTTATGAAAATGAATAACGAATAATTTTATCGTTTTCTGTAGTTAAACTTTTAACTGATTTAAAATAACCGTTATCTATTTTATTCACGCTATTTTATTTTGTCAATGACAAATAGATCTTATCAACAATGCACAGACATTAATTTATTGAATGGATGACATTGTTTAATTTTATTATTATTATCATTTCATTCCATTTTACCTTAAAAAAAATCATTCGATTGTTAATTGTCACATAAAACATTTATCGAGTGATTCTCTAGGAAAAATAATAAAAAAACAATTTAACTAGTAGAATAACTTTATTGAAAAGAAAAAATGTAATCTTTTGTAAAAATGATTAATGACACTATAACTAACACAAACTTTTTTTCTCTAATCAAAATCGTTCATTTCGAATTGATCTTCGAATTTTGACGTTTTAAAAATCATTTTTGCCATTTTACTTTTGATTGCGTTTCTACCGTAGAAAGCCAACGCTTGTAATTGAATAAAATATTCTGTATTCTTCTTTAAACTTTTCAAATGATAATGCAATTGATTCTAAAAAAAAAAAAAAAACAGAAAAGAAAATTTACTCGTTTAGGAAAAGGTTTTTCCCCCTCCTCCCCCCCCCTTGTCTTTCTCATTTAAGATTCAAACCTCCGGAACTAAATCTTTTTGAACTAATACAGCTTCAGATTTGAAATTTGTATCTCTTTCATCCAGCCTGTGACTCCAAAATATTTTATATCTTTGAACTGGAATCGATGATTCTGATGGACTCCATCGAACGGTTCCCCAAATCGTACCATTTTTTTCTTTAACTTGTTCTATTCTTAATTTTGTTGGTTTTTGTAATTTAGGACCTTAAACGACAAAACATTTTGGGAAATGAAAAACCCGCAGATGTCTTTTAAAAAGTGTTTAAAAACGCACAAATTGATTTATTAATTCAAATGTAAATTATATGATCAACAGCAGTTCGAATAAAGAAAAAATATGGCGGTGAAAAGAAAAAAGTCGTGGCAAAAGACTCACGTCGCGCCAATTTAAAACCTTCGGATTCCGTTGAAAATCCTTTCGTACCATTTACGTTAACAGAAGCGACACGAAATTGATACCAATAACCAGGTTTGATGACATTTTTTAAATTAACAAAATTTTTTTTCGAACTATATATTGGATTCCATTCTCCCAAAAGTGGTTCGTTATAAAATCTTCCCAAATGATGTCGTTCTTCCAAAACGAATAATATCCTTTAAAACAAAAACATTTTCTTTTTAATTATAGGCTCTATAAAATAATTCATTTGAATAATAATAATACTCACGTTTGATTTTTATTCAAAGAATCAAATTCCCACGATAAGTGAACGCCATTCTTCCTTTTTTTTTCTTTGACCGTTAAATTGTATGGAACGGACGGTAAATGAATTTCATTAAAAAGTCCCAATGCGGGTTTACACGTTTGACCGCAGGAATGTAAACAACATTTTTCAGTCGATGGACAATCCCTGTCATCGGTACAAAAAAAAACGCAGGCTTGTACGAAAACGGGAATGTTATCAAATGAATCTGGACAATAACCGAATTTATCAAAAGGTTCCTTCAAACAACCTTTAAAACACTGAAATGACATCAACAACAACAACAATGATGATGATGATAATATAACTCGTAAAATTATTATTATCATTACTACTAAATAATGTGAGGAGGGGGAGAAAGGAGGGATGGGAGAGGTGGGGTGGAGTGAGGGGGGAGGGGTTTCTCAAATAATTGTAACATTTTGTTATTCCGTATGAAAAAATTTATATAAACAAAAATTTTCAACGTGCCAGAAGGTATTAAAAAAAAATTTTAAAAAAACGTGACCCAAGGACAAACAAACATGATCATTATAACTATTATTATTATTATTATTAATATTATTATTATTATTCATGATGTATATTATTTCAATTTAGAGACGAGACAAGAGAAAAAAAAAAAAAAAACTTAAATTATAACTTTTTTTATAAATTATATACCATGGAATATATATAATATTTGAAATTTAAATTTTGTCTCGATATAAAATTGAGAAAAACTTTTTTAATTAGCATCCATCTAATACCTATGTAACAAAATGAAATAATAATAATAATTAACAACACTTAACGTTACATATATATATAAATAGAATTTGAAAAAAGTAATAATAAAATCTTTCTCAGAACACAAAAATGGGAAAAAACGTTTAATTGAATTTCTTTTTACCCCGGTTCCGACTACTAAAACAACCCAATATGGCGGCAAAATAAAATAAAAAAACTCATCAGAACGTTAAATTAAAAAAAAAAAATTTCTTCTTTCCTTTCCCCTCCCCCCTCCCCCCTTCCTCCTTCCCTTCCATCATAAATTATATATAATAGGATCGTTTTTTTTTTCTCAAAACATAAATGATGATGATGATGATAACACCACGTGAGTGAGTTTTTTTTTTTTCATTCCAGTTAATTATCGAAACATTAAAAATAACGAACAAATTTCATTTTGACTTTTATATATAACGTACTTTTTTTCTTTTCAAAACGCATAAAAACTCTATCGAATATTAGTAATTAAAATAATTTAATAAACTTTTATAAAGATACGCTACAAACAAAAGTAAAATTGAAAAAAAAAAAAAAAGAAGAAGGAAAACAAACCTCTTTTTTGTTATTATCCTTTTTGTTTAAACAAATGATATCGCAACGAGTTACTTTAATGGCGTCGCTCCCTTGTAAATTATCAAAACGATTCAAAGTTCTTTCGTTGCATTCGATTTTAACATTTTGCGTTATTAATAATATAAATAATATCAATTGAAATTTATTATTATTATTATTGTAATTGATTTTGACATTATTAATATTTAATAAATTATTAATTATATTATTCCTCATCATCAATAATTTATTGATTCATTTTAAAGTTTAATTAATTAATTGTTTAAACCTTTCAATTTTCTTTTTTGTTTACTTTACGGAACGCGCCGTCACGATTGCTGCGACATTTTTCCCCGCGTTTTTCCCTGTTTGTTTACTTTTTTCCCTGCAAAATCAAAATCGTTTATGAGTATATAAATTGGACAAACAAACGAATCTTTTTTTTTAAATTTAAAACAAATGCTAGTAAAAAACAAAGTGATAAAACAAACAGACAAACAAACAAACAAACAAACAAACGAACGTTTTATAAATTCGTGTTTACGTTTAATATTAAACAAATAAATAAACCGCCATTTAATTTAACAAACGTTTGAATTATAATAATAATAATAATAATAATAATGAAAAAAATGATTTATGGACTTTTTTTTTTTTTATTATTAAAATTGAATTGCTACTACTCGCGGCCGACGGATACATAATAAAAGTATAAATAATTATTTTAAATAAAAAAAAAAAAAAAAGGGTTAATAAATCATGACTAAGAGACTGATGAATTGTAAAACGTTGTTATTAATAAATAATTATTATACCTTTAGGGTATAAATTTTAATAATAATTTTTTTTTTCTTTCTTTAAATAACATAATATGTTGTTGTTGTTGTTGTTGTTGTTCCCGTATAATAAAATAATTAAAATTTTACACTCTTTTTTTTTACCCTTCTTCTTTTAAACAAAACCGAATCTGACAAATGATTTGTTTTTAACAATTATAAACAAAATATATTTTTTTTTGTTTAAACCACACACACTAGAACAAATTATGTATTAAAATGTCAAAACTTACACTTTAAATATTATTTTTATCCAAAACAATTGAATCCAGTTATGTATGTTAACCGGCGTGGAAGAATAATTAAAAATAAAATAAAATAAAATAAATAAAAAAAAAAAAGGAAACCAGTTTGTTGATACGTTTACGTTGAATAGCCCAGGTAAACTGACCATCCAAATAAATAAATTCTACAAAGGTCCTCCTCTCATCACACTCACAACATTTTTTTTTTCTTTTTTTTTCTTTTTCTTTCTTTATATTAATGGCATGTTGCCTAATATAAATTATTTAATTTTTTTTTGTTGAAGTTTTTCTTCTCCCTTTTTTTCCTTAACGTTTAAATCGTTTCGTGTTTTTTTTTAAACTTATTATATCCTTTTTAAACTGTTTTCTTCGTACCTTTTTTACTCGTAGGAAATCATTCGAAAATAATTATTTCAATTTCAATTAATAAATTTTATGTTAATGGCGGTTGATTTATGACGTCACACGACAGTAAACAAACTGGAAAAAATGTTTTTCAATTAATTTTATAAAAAACTCATAATATTATTAACTATTTATGTTTAAAACACGAATAAATACGTAATTATTATTAATAATAAAACGATTCCATAATTATATTTTTAACGTTAAAAAGAAAAAAAAACTCACGAGGAAAGGTTTTACTCACACGATGGCGTCTCGAACACTGAAAAATTCAAAATGTCGGATGCGAAATTTTGAAAAAAAAAAAAAAAAAATTTATACAAAAAAGTGCGGATCAAGCAAAAAACAACCCGGTTCTTATCGATTCGAAATAAAAAAAAAAAAAAATCCTTTGATAAAATATTTTAAACGTTATGTTAAAAGAGAGAAAAATTTTTGCATTGTCTTCAAAAAAAAAAAAAAAAAATTTTAACCGTTGGAAATGAACGTATTGTAATTTAATACTTAATTGTTTAGTCTAATCCTTTAAATAATAGTTTATATTACACTATCGCGAGAATATAAAACAAAACACACACACACACACAAATAAGATTAATTTGTTATTTTTTATTTTTTGTTTCTTTTATCAAATAATATTTACACGATACGGCATTTTCTTTTTTTTTTTGAAATGTTTCATTTACATACGCGACTCCATTATTCGTTTTCGATCAATCAATCAAATCAAACCGTCGAACGTGTCAATTTAATAACTAATGACACGTTAAAAAATTTCACAAGTTTTGTTTACATTTTCGTTTTACCCCCAAATCTCCCTTTTATTAATAATTTTTTTTAACAATTAGTGAGTGATTTATGGAATTTTAATTAGATTATTAATAAAATAAGATTCAAAATTATAAGAATATAATAATTCTTTCGGTTAATTCATTAAAAAGAGAGGAAAAAGAAAGAAAAATACGTTTGATTCTTAGTCGTCATTTTTTTTTTTTTTTGAAAATGAATCCAAAATTTTTTTTTTTTATTAATTAATAATAACAGGTCGTGGCGTGAAAAATAAAACCTAAAAAGGATTAAAACTAGTTGTTTGTTGCTACTACTACTACTACTACTACAAAAAACTAAAACATTTGGGTGTTTGAATTAAATGATGATTACACGTTTTAAACATTTTCAACATGGTAAACTGGATTTCAAAAATCATCATCATCATCATCATCATCATCAAAAATCTACACGTTTTAACCTCCGGCAAATTTTTTTTTTTTTTAATTTTTTTAATTTTTTTGTTTTGTTTCAGATAAAACAAAAAAAAAAAAAAAAATCAATTACGTAAAAAAAACTCTCTCGTGAAAAAAAAAAAAAACAAAATGGAGAACGATGTTAAATAATAATTATTATTACTATAATAAATTATTTTTATTTATAGGAGGAAAAAATAATTTAATGATTAACTTACCTACCCGTTTAAACGTTTTGATTTTTTTTTTTTTAAACGCACTCACGCACTCACGCACATACACACGCACCTGAGTTTTTTTTTTCACTACTACTTTATCATTTTATATATATATATATTAATTATGTTCATTTTATTTAATGATTCTGGTTTTTTTTCTTTCTTTCTTTCTTCTAATTATTTATATTATTTTTGTCAGCCATTTTGAATTTTTTTTAAACTTATTTTTTTAAGTTCATTATTAAAGGAGGAAAAGGAGGGGAAAAAAAAGAGTAGAGATTGATTTAAAATATATTATATTAATAAATTAAATCACGTGACTATAATTAAATTTAATACGTATTAAAGTTCGTTTAACCGTTAAAAAAATAATAATAATAATGTTGTTGTGGTTGTTGTTGTTGTTGTTGTGGGGATATTAAATAATTGATTTAACATTGTATGTTAATAAAAAAAAAAAAAAAAAAAATTGAAAAATTGAAAAATTATTTTACAGTCGAGGAAAATTGTAAAAATTAGTTTTGTGTGAATTATATATCCGGTCGTGACCTCGAATTTTCTCGAATTTTTCAAACTTTTTTTTTTACGAATAAAAATCTTTTCGGTGTGTGTGTGAATAAATCAGGAAAATAAATAATAATTTTTTTTACTTATCGTACGTTTAATTTATTTAATAATAATAATAATAATACATTTTAAAATACTGTTACGTGAAAATATAAAAAAAAAAAAAAAAAAATGTTTGGTTTTTTCTTAACTAAGACATCTAAATCTTTGGAGTTTCTTTTTTTTTTGCTCCCTTTTTTGATTAACTTGCTGGTGCTGCAGTTGTTGAAGGTGCTGCAGTCGATGCTGGTGCAGCAGTTGAAGTTGAAGCTGGAGTTGAACCTGGTTCTGCGGTAGATCCAGGAGCTGCAGTTGAAGTTGAAGCTGGAGTTGATCCTGGTGCTACAGTCGAAGTTGGTTCTGCGGTAGATGCTGGTGCAGAAGTAGTCGTTGGA